CCGACGACCCGTCCAAATGGATCAACCATAACAACAACAACAACCGCAGCAGCAGTAGGGGCCAAAACAACAGCAGCAGCAGCAACAACAACAACAAGAACCACAAGCGCATGACAGGACCACACAAGATGAAAACGCTGAAAAAAGCCACACACAGGCAAAAAGACAACCACTGAGCGGCGACGGTGGCGACTGGACGGTTGATTACATGAACAAACGAAGCGAAGCAACCGGCAAACGACAGAGACAGAGAAAAGGCAACGGGTTGGATGCAGTCGATCCGCGTAACCGCAAAAGCCGACGCCAAGATAACGAGTAAAAAAAAAAAATAAAAAGAGAGCCAACCACAAACAAATTTACCACACACGCCATCGCCAAGGCGAAGGCAAGGCGCGGGCAAGGCGAAAGCGACGGCGAAGTCGAAGACGACGGCAAAGGCGAATGGCAAAGGCAGGGGCGAATTGCCTCTAGGGGGAACAAAGCAGAATACCATTGGCGGCGACTTGGGCGAGCCAGAGCCACACGTATTACCGGTGGCAAATAGTAATTATTACATTAAATGCACCGCAATAATACAACAACAACAATAACAGCCAACAGCCATAAAAATTGCAACGATGCGCGACCTCAAGCCCGACCCCGTGCCCGAGCATCAGCCGAAGCTCGAAACCGAGCCCGAGCCGAAGCTCTCTTGGAATGGCTTCTAAGCGAATGCAGTTAAAGTTTAAGTGGTGTAGCGAGTCACTGGTCACTGGTCACTCGAACCGGCAATGTTAATGGCGTTATAGGCCAATGACAAATGCAATTGCCTAGCGATGCGGATTGCAATGCTGGCGCACGGGGACCCCAGCTGCGGTGCACTATAAATTAAGACATTATGCGATTAAAAACAAACAGGCTGTCGTTAAAGTTGCTCGGCAGCAAGGCGAGCCAAGTTGGGATGGGCGGGCGAGAGAGTGAGAGAGACAACTCTAGAGGCACGAGATCAACATTTTTGGCTAACTGCAGCCGAATACGTAGTTGAATGTGAGCTAGCCGGACTAAGCAATAGACGATATAATGCATGCTAGATCATTCACAATCTACAAAATTAGTAAAATTAAAATTAAATAATAAATATTGACAAACTAATTAAACTATTGACTATAACACTAAAAACACCAAAATTCCAACTTTCATGATATTCGTATATACTTCGCTCATATTCGATAATATCAGTGCACCTGACAATAAAAACACAAAGCTGTAGGAAGCTTCACCTTTGCATACAGGCAAAACAGTTTCCTGGACAATCAGTGTATCTACATATATTGATCTACATGCCACATACCCTTTATACGCTTACGCTACATAAAACAATCCCTCGATCGTAATTCAACAGCTGCTCCCATCCCCATATCAAACTAGATCAGTTGCCTGCATGTGAATGATATCTGAAAACAAGGCGGCGTTGAAAAAAGTTGCCGCGCTCTAGGCAGGCAAACAGGCAGGCAGGCAAGCAAGCAGCCAGCCAGGCAAGCAGCAGCTCGCTTCGGCAGTAACAGAAACAGCCACAGCAACAGCAACAGCAACAACAACATTAACAAATACAACAATAACTCGACGCTGCCGCAACTGAAACGGCAAATGAAGCTCTCAACCGCCACGTTGGTGGTCCAATGGCAGCTGCGCCGTTGCCGCCACACAGGCACAGCATTTGAATGCCCAAGTACATATGTCAGTGTGTGCCCCTCGCTCTCGCTATCACTCTCTCCTTCTCTCATTCTCGCTCTGCCTCTCTCCCGCTGTATTTAGAGAGTTGGTTATGGGGAGCATTGGAGCTGCGTTACGCTGCAGGCGAATTGAGCAGAACAAAATGCAAGTCATTGAGAGCAAAAACAGGAGAGTCATGCGCTGCGATACTAGAGATGAGCAAGCTAGCACGAGCGTGCACAAATATTAAAAAACAAATACTTAAATTTTAATTGCATAAAATTTAAAATTGTATAATAAATACAAAATGCGTCCGGTATAATTAAAATATTCGTTAATTTAGTATCTATGATAGGACAATATGCATAGATCTAAATATCTCAAACTTTGTGTTCATCTTTTTCGTTTTACCAAACACAATCACGAGACCATCTCTAATTTCCAATGTTTTGAGCAAAAAATGGCGCAATCTGCAGAGAGCGCGACGTAAATGGATAAAGCTAAAATATGCGGCCCGCGAGACGGCGGCAAAAATGCCGCCCATGTCGCCAAAATGCGCCACACGCAATCCAAAACAGAAACGGGCACATGCAACAACAAAAACAACATCTCCCCTTTGACTCGGTGCAGTGAGCGAGAGTCGCACAAGAGAGCGAATGAGTGAGCGCATTGAGGCGCAAAAAAAGAGCGCACTAGTGGTCGAGTGCAGGCGCACTCAGTTCGAGCAAAAGCACAGCAGCCATTCATATTGATGTAACGTTAGCCAGGTGATCGGCAGCGACGGGGCAGGGGACAGGAGGCCATTTACGTTTGCTGCTCGTCATCAAAAGTTGTTTGTTATTGCTGTTGTTGTTGGCTGTTTGATTATAATAGCGGCTTGCGGTGGGTCTCGGTAATGATGTTGCATTCGAATTTGAATGCGACTTCGATTTCGACTTCGATTCGAACGCTAATTTTCTGATCACTTTTTCATTGATGTACGTTCGAACGGAGTATATTAGTTTTTACAAGAAGCTTGTAACGCAATGCGGAAAATATTTTTGATCCATAAGAAATATTTTCAATCAATTTAATAAAATATGTGTATAATTTAATTTTTTATGAAGAACATTAGCTTTTCTTGAAGAATGATGCGTTTATTTCTCTCTCGCCAAGTTGGAGCCATAAGAAAAAAACAATCAACTTTTCAACCTATATAATTTGCTTCGCAAAAACAACAGCTTGTGTGGTCCTCTCTGACTCACACACACACGCATATGTCTATCCGCATGAGAACGCACTATAAAGTGTAGTGAGTTAAAATATCCTCTTCATAATTTAGTATTAAAAACATGCAAAAACAGATATCAGACGCATGTGGCAGATACAAAAAGCAGCAACAAGAATAACCACATGGAGCTAACAAATTTGCCAACAATTCACAGCCTGCACAAACACACACACACACATACAAGTCTGCCACGCACGCGCTCCACGGGCATAAACACTTATACAATAATAAAAGCTCCACTAGCGACGACGCGTCGCGACGTCGCGTCGCTGCTCGCACAGCTGAAGGCCGCCATCAAGTAGAAGCGAGCGGGTAGCAGGAGAGAGAGAGAGACAGAGACAGAGGAAAGGAGAGAGCCCGCAGCGGCTGCGGGAACATCGGGACCGGGGACCACCCACAATGCCGGCAGCCGCTTTTAATGAAGCAACAACAAATTTTATTTGGGTGGTCGCTGCAATAAAAATAACAACAACTGGAATACGCCGGCGGGCGCAACTCGTGTGTGGTCTAAGCTACAACGACGACGACGACAACAACAACAACCAAATTAGCCAGCGCAATCGCAAGCTTGTTTAAACAATTTGCTGCTAGAGTCGAAAAGTTTGACATATGTATGTGTGTACAAAAGAGCTTTAACTGTAATTGTTAATAAGCTACTGTTGCTATAGGGTATCCTGTGTATACGAACATTTTTTTAACTTAGTTCGGCAGAACATAAGATCTAGATCATTTTCAATATTAATTTATTAAAATGAAATATGAATTTTAGTTTTTAAATAACATCAGAAATATATATGTATTGAAATTAAGTATTCGAGAGCAACAAAAGTTTGCATAAATAACCAATTAAATTTAAATACATATACTGATTACATGAAGACATGTTGATTCAAGAGAAACAGATATGTATTTTTTCTGTAACAAACATTTTCATATCGTTTTGTTACCCTTTTAACCCAATCAATGCAGGGTATGCGATAAATCCCTGTTGCTTATGCAGAGCCTAGTCTTCTGAACTGTTCTCAAAACTATGAAACTGTTAACCGTGAGTACACTGCAGTCCTCGTTGAGAGTAGCGCTCACGCTCAAATCAAAATGGCCGCAGAAGAGCTGGCCGAGAGACTGAACGCGAACGCGAGCGCGAGTGTGAGAATGAGAATGAGAGAGACTCTAAGCGCTGCACACAGATACGGCACGCTAATGAAGTTGTTGGCTTGGTAAAGTTGTTATGTCTCTGCCTGCGAGACGTACTTGCCGCTCTTTAACATACACATTTTGAGTTTAACAGTGCCATTTTGAGTTTATATCCATGTGAACCAAAAACAATGTACAGATACAAAATGTATCTGTATCTCTCAGACTGCTTGCGATCTTCGAACGAAACGGTTGTGTTTACTGCGCGAGCGGCTCGAACGAAACGCGCTGAATTTTCTATAAGACGAATTGGCCTGGTAGTGTTTTTATAATTAAAAACAAAATTAAGCAGTGTCAAATTATATACACATAATATTCAAAGAAAATTAACAAATTTCAATCAACCTACCCGAATTAACAACAACAAAAGCAAAAGAAACGTCGACGTGCGCAAAGTGTGTGTAAAAAAAACGCGCAGAGAGCGCTAAAGAAAGGAAAGAAAAGAAAAAAACGTGATGCAGCGCTGTGTATTAAACTTCTGAGGCGTTCGCGTCGCGTTGCGCGTCGCATCGTTACGAAAAGTGTGTGAATTATGTGTGAAAATTGTTGAAATTGCTGTGGAAAATGTGCACAAATGCAGTGGAAAAGTGAAGCGATCTTAAGCACGAGACCAGATCGCCAGATCGCGTTCAAGCTGAAGCTAAAGTCAAAGCGAAACCAGCAATCACAACAAAACGAAACAGAGAGAGAGCAAACGACAGCCAGAGAGCGTAAACGGAGAGCGTGTGTTAAAATGTTGTTTATGCTGGGCAGCGAAAATGCAGCGCAGGCATAATGCAAAATACAAAATAAGAAGTTGTTTTTTTTTTAAACATCAATAACAAAAATAAACAATACACACACACACACATACACACACAAACACAAACGGAGCGAACGTGAACTTCAAGCTGATTGGTAGCACTTTTCTGCCGCTGTTAGTTAACAGAACAGCTTCATAGACTACCAATCCCCCGTCTTCGCAGACAGTTAACAGCTGTGAGAACGCGCGTTATTTGTCCTCCCACACGAGCTTATCTACTAGACAGTCACACACACATACATACACACATATCTCAATATGGATAGGGAGAGCCTGCCGCGCGTACCTGACACACACGGCGATGTTGTCGATGAGAAATTATTCTCGGATCTTTACATACGCACCAGCTGGGTAGACGCTCAAGTGGCGCTCGATCAAATTGATAAGGTAAGTGAAAAAGAGAGTCAAAAAAGCTACGCCACCTAAAACCTGTATCCCAAGCCCAGGCCAGGGCCTGGCTTTGTGTTAAATTAAGTCATTAAGCCGTTGGGACAGCTTTTAATACAATTTATTGCTGATATCTTCGGTATTTTTTCGCCCATTTCGATTTCGTTTCGTTTCGTTTTTGGTTTTTGCTCAATTTGTTTTAATAGAGCTGTTAACGGCCGTCGCGTTGTTCTTGGCAGCGGGAGTGGGGGCAGCGGCGAATTGTTGACAGCGGCGAACTGTGGTCGGCTACGGCGGCGTACGTTTGCTCTTAAGCACATTCAATTTGTTGTTGCTATTTAATTAATTGCTGTGCTTAACTTGAAAATTAAGATGTGGGAAAAAACTGAAAGTATTCACGATCTTATGTGTAGTTCATTAATATAAATACCCTTACTATATTTCAATTGTAATTTCACGCTCGTTTATCATACGCAGCTAGTTTTTCTAACATCGTGTATGTTGATTAACATCGGTATGTTATGTTAGGTAACATAGTTTTTAAGCCAAAAATAGATCAACATAGACATGCGTGTGTGTGTGAGTTCAACACATGTTCATTTAATGGCATATATATGAGGTTTCACTGACTTTTTAACTGACAGCAACAATAACAACAGGAGCACACGTCAACTGTTGAGCAAATCAAACTTAAAGCTATTTTCACTTGGCGCACAGCAGGATCGGAGGCCCAAGACCTCCGACTCTCGAAGCTCACTTGCCAGAGCCGCAGACAAAAACAACTTCATTATTTTCTGCTACTGTGCGGCGAAGTTGTCGGCTGACCGCAAAAAGTCAACAACAACAACGGGCACAGAAGCAGCGAAAAAAAATAACAACTGCACAAAAAGTGAAGCGCTGTCTGCGGCGGCTGCAGGAACTCTTTCCAAGTGTGTGTGTGTCCGTGCAGGCAGCTACGAATACCGCCAAAAACAACAATAAAAACTTTTGATTTGCTTTTTGATAAAAATGACTTTTGTAGCTTTGGCTTTACGTTTGCGGTGCTTAAACAAGGAATGCACAATGATAAAAAGTAAACAAGGAGAATAAGAGAAGCTTAACTTATCTTACAATGTAGCAGAGTATAAATAATGTTCTATATTATTTAATATATGTTAAAGTTATTTTTATAAAACTTATTTTTAAGTAATATTTATATTATATGATTAAAAGTTGTATATAGTGTGAAGCTAATTTTTGTAGAGCATTCCAAGTTCGTTGTTAACTTTGCTTAACGTCGGTCGTATTTATCGTTTGCTTTCGTGTGGTGCTGTTGTTTTTGGTTTTGTGTGCTGTTGCGTTTTGTTGTTGTTGTCGTTGCCAAAAGCATTCTGTTTGTTTGCTTGTTGGTGTTGTTGTTGTAGAATTGTAGAAGCAGCTACCGCACACAACGCGTCACGTCAGCTAGAAGAAACACACAAGTACATTCATATAGGCGTTCACATATATATATTTCGAAAGTGCGGGTGGCCCACAATGGGGAAAAAGGAAAAAAACAACAAATATTTCACTGACGCACGCGCTTTTTGACCGAGCTCGATGGCTGTCAAACTGTGGCCACAGTGCCTCAACGTTTCTCGCCTTCTCGCTGCTCGATTCTCCTTGCCCATTGCCTTTTGCGGTGCTTTTTACAACTTGATGTCTTCATTATGGCATCTGCTCTTGTTGCCTCTCTTTCGTTTTTCCGTGTGTGTGTGTTTCTGTGTGTGAGCTCCTCAATTATTTCTCGTAAGGTCTGCGCTGTGTTGTAACGTTACAGCGTTTCCTCGCATTGAACTTCTCGAAAGTTGTGGCAACAGCGATCGGCACGTCGATGCTGCTTGCCGCAGCATCGCAGTTGGCGGCGACTCTGACTGCGATTGAAGCTGAGGTGTGGTCGTGCCTTGTTGTTGTTGTTTGTGTTTTGTGTTTTCTGTTTTCTGTGTTTGGCCTTTTGCTCGTGACGGCGTCGCCGTCATCGACGATGGGCGATTTATTTTAATGACTCAATTTAACGAAATATATTAAGACATTAATTTTGTCGAACGAAGCCAACAACAACAACAGCAGGAAAACTGCGAATTGCATTCGTTCCCTTTTTGGCGTATTCGCCGCGTGCATATGCAAATTGCTCAACGTTATGTTTATTATGTTTCGAATGCCATAAAAAGCGAAAAACGAGCAAAGTTCGCCGCACTCACTGGGAGGTCCCGCCGCTTACGTTTTCATGAATGAGGCGAATATCAAATTGAGCCAATCGGTATGTGCTTGTGTTGTTGTTTTCGCTGTCTCTTTTGTTGCTGATATTTTAATCATAATTTTCTCTTTGTCAATTCTTTGCCCATTTGTTAAGATACCACGTACAATGCGAACACAAAATGTATGCACGACTTGACATTAGATTGAGTACAGCTTTATCAAATACACATTTTTTATTTGTAAATTGAAAGTTTCGTTTAAAGTTGAAAAAAGCTTCCTCAATAGATCAGTTACAACTGTTTCTAAGGGTATTTGCTAGTCTTGCTGTCGTATTTAGTTGGAATAATATTATTTGCTTGTGCCGCGACTTTATTTATGGCAATACCGCACTATGGATGCAGGCCATGTACGAATGGTGCGGCGATGGAGACGAGGGTCATTGTATTTGTATCTATAAGAGATATACTTATGCATATATATATGTATGTGTACATATGAATTCATGAATGAAATCGCCGTGGCACGTAGCTCCCTCTCACACTCTCTTGCACACTCACTCATTCGCTCACTCACTCTCCCTCGCTCTCGCTGTGCCAATTGTAAAGCACACACAGAGCCACTCAACACAGGAAGTTGAGCCGCATTGCCGGCATTTTGAAGAAGTTTTCGTTGTTGTTGCCGTTGTTTATGCGGCGTTTGCTGGCTGCTGGCTGGTGGTTAACAAATTTGTTAAGTCATGCCGCCCCGATCTTTTCACAACAGCACATGAAAAACAAATATTTATCCTCTCTGCGGCGTAACGTAACTCAAAAATTGACATGGCCAAAATCGAAGGAAAAAAATGAAAAGAAAAACCAGTAGCAACAGCCCTGAAATTGTAAATAAGCAACTGTATCTTAATGAGTTACGTAAACAGACATAAAGCGCAGACAGGCAGACGGATAGGCAGACCAAACAACTCTTTTGCATAGACAAACGAATGCGGGAGACTTTGCAGAACCAAGAAATTCAGATCATATGAATGGAAAGTTAAATATCGAATAGATCAAAGCATTACTGGAAGCTGAATAGTTTCCATATACATTTTTGACTCGTGAACTAGTATATCTGTATTTTTATTCACTAGTTCACCTAGTTCATGTTTGTGAATGTAAACTAGTTCACTTAGAGAAAGAGATCATGTTCCATATATAGCTAAAAGAATATTGTTCATAACAATTGAAATGGTTTATAATTCACTGTTCAGGGAACTAGTTCAGTAGTTTATTTCAATGAGCACATAATTTCTGAACAAACCAAAATTCAAATAATCATAGTCTTAATATTGATATAATCATACAAAAAATGTAGTTCTGACAGTACGTAGAACCCATTTAAGGAAACCTTACCCACATTAACCGTTGAGTGCATTCTTGTGTATTTGAAATCCATTCAGTTTCTAGGTATTTGTTTACACTCAGCCCAACCCTTTTCTATGACACTTCAGCGAAAGTCAACGCATAGAGTAAATTTCAGTTTGTGGCCGAGGCTTAACGTCCTTTTCTTGGAAGTGCAAAGGACTAGGGCATCGTTGCCTTATATCTTTACCGCGCCTATCTCTAACACGCCCCGAGTACTTCCTCCCTTTGTCTTTCAATGCTACCCCCTGTCATATGTAAGCCGGAAATGCTTGTAGGCGTGAGATATCTTCATCGCCACGTCCTCTGCATTGATTGTTTGGGCAATAGCAACTTCTTTGATCTTCTCGGAAGATACTTCGTGTCGACTTCAGCCCTTGGAGCTCGGACAATTTATGGAGGTATTACTCACACACTCATTCACTCTGGGCTCACTCGACTCAATTGAGATTTATGTTTGCTTAGGGATTATTTGGCACTCAACATACTCCCTCTCTTTCTTTCTCTCTGTGTTATGTTCGGTCTCTTAAGTCTTTTTGAGCTTGAGCAGTTGTCCCCTAATACAATTTTTACTCTCTCCTTCTTGCTCTCCTAATAATGAAAGCTTTGTGAATGCTTAGAAACTATTTGCCACTCAACTAACTGTCGCGCCGTTACGCTCACTTCGTTGGGCTAAATTTAGCCCTTGGAGTTTGAGCAGTTATGCAGTTGTGCAGTAATAAAGTTACTCTCTATCGTCTCTTTCCCTTTATTGAATCAGCTCAGAAATTGTTTGTCACTCAACTGAGACTCTCTTCCATTCTGTCGCTTTAGTTCTGCACTTGACGCACACGCTTTGACTTTGGTTTGAGCTTTTGTGTATATTTCGAGTTTTTAATCCAAGCTGAAGCTCACTCAACTCGTTTCCCTTTCTCTACTGCTTTCAACTTATTTACAGAGGAGTATTTTCTAGTCGATTTTCATTTAAATTTTCTCAAATCATAAATTTTTCTGTTGTCATTTGTTTGTTGGTGGTCTTGAGTTAAATTCCTTGGGATATGGAATAACAAATATTAGTCCAACGTGCGATAGTGATTTATATGAGTTGCACGTGTTGCACACAAGATCTTATCACTATGTCTTATCTGCTTATTATAATATTTACTTTAAGCGGCTTTGAATTAAACTTAGCGAGAGGCGTTCTAAATCTTTTAGATTTATTGTTATAGTTTCTTATAGTTCTGTTGTGTTCCGTTTGATCTATTTGATCCCCAGAGGCAATCCACTTAAATCATAAATTAACGCCCAGATCGTTTCATGCCTTTGCTCTATAATCTTCTTAGCAGTTGAAGGCATGTTTCCCCCAATTAAAACTAAAAATACTTCAAAAATCTAGAAATGAAAAAC